CATACAATTTTTTTTCATCGATAGTCTGTAATTGGAACAATAACTCTTATTTATTCAAATTGTATTAATATGTAAAGACCAAGTGTAACCTATATCATCGTTAAATCTTATCTTATAAAACCAGTGGAACTTCAAAATCGTTAAAATTTATGGCTCCCACCGTATTACACGAGTACACAACAACTAGTTAATAAATATATAGTCTTCTTCTATAAGTCTCTACATGGACCCATTTTCTAGAACCAGTCGAAACCACAAACGTTAAGGAGTGGTTAACTTAGATTATTTGATTTCTCTTCGTATAATTTTAATTGTTCCATTATTTGTCATTTATTCTCATGACATTCCATATAACATAACATAATCTAACATTCTCAAATTTGTAAGGAGAGTTCAGTAAAACATCAAATAAGGGTTAAATCCTTTTCTAAGAATTCACAGTTGATTACATATAATGGCAATCTAAGATTTAACATCAATAAACAATATTCCAAACCTTATACAAGTCTATAACTAAGGACGGATACTACCAAAACCCAATAGATGTCGTCATCTCCAATGTACGGAAGACGTCTCCAATTTGCTAATTACTTCTCGTGCCTTTAACTAGCGCTCATCTCATCACCAGCTATCACCATTTCCCCAAGGACCTGATGCACATGCTGACAAAAAAACGATTAGGCTTAACGTCTAGTGAGTTCAAACATTTTTAATTAGTTATATAACATGGCTAAAATGGAAAGGAGGTTATTTAAAATCACACTTTTTAAAACGAAATGTGTTTTAAAATGTAAACAACATCTTTCCCCAAACCACTATTTCCGTGATATAAACACTTAAACGAGAATACTCAATAATTGTGAAACCAAACCCAATACTCGCATGAAGCGTAAAGAGGATTAAAATCCAAGTACCGGAAACATGGAAATAACCCTTTTATCCAAAACCTTAATATATGGAGGAGATCCAATATATCAAAATCATAAATTATATATGATTTATTTGCCAAAACCCAGTAATATTAAAAACATGTATCCAAAATAACATTAAACAACGATGGGGAGACCCGTATTGTTGAGAATGACAGGAACACAAATAGTATGTCACTCAAACAACGTTATCATATGACATTTCATGACCTACAATCCAAGTGGTCTTACGATTTCTTAATTTACAAGCTTCACCTCAAAAGTCGGTTCACTTTAGTGTACCCTCAAGAGTAATCACAGCGAGACTCGACACACTTAAAGACTACCTCTAGGCATTACTTCAGGTGACTACTTCTGATTCTCAACAATTTAAGTGTTTTTCTTTTTGATGATTTTGATGGTTAAGACTAACGTTTTTTTGGAATATGGTTAATTTTTATCAAATTATGCATCATTTGCTGCCGTTAATGGTGTCTTACTAAGGATTTCATAATAACTAGAAAACTGAATAACCCAAAAAATTTAACATGAACCTCATGTAGTTCAGATGGGTTATTGGACATTGGATGTTTTTTTAAAAACTCCCTTCAGCGTGCTTCCAATCACATGACTTTCTGAATCTGTTATGAAATGTTAAATAGTTTATCCTTGAAAGGTCTTGTAAAAAAACGTTAGAATGTTAGATTGTAAAAGTGATTTTTTTTCCTATCAAAAGGCTATTAAAATGAAAGAGCAAAATGAGGAGTGTAGTTTGTGATATCACATTCTTTTCGTATTTGATTCTGTAACATCCCAAAATTTCCAAATACTTAAATATATCAAAACTAGTATCCCAAGATCAAAACTTACATTGCAGCGGAAATAAAATTTCTAATCTT